GCACTGCTAGTGTCATATCTGGCCTTTTACTCTTGTTACTGCACTGCTAGTGTCATATCTGGCCTTTTACTCTTGTTACTGCACTGCTAGTGTCATATCTGGCCTTTTACTCTTGTTACTGCACTGCTAGTGTCATATCTGGCCTTTTACTCTTGTTACTGCACTGCTAGTGTCATATCTGACCTTTTACTCTTGTTACTGCACTGCTAGTGTCATATCTGGCGTTTTACTCTTGCTACGGCACTGCTAGTGTCATATCTGGCGTTTTACTCTTGTTACTGCACTGCTAGTGTCATATCTGGCCTTTTACTCTTGTTACTGCACTGCTAGTGTCATATCTGGCGTTTTACTCTTGTTACTGCACTGCTAGTGTCATATCTGGCGTTTTACTCTTGTTACTGCACTGCTAGTGTCATAACTGGCATTTTACTCTTGTTACTGCACTGCTAGTGTCATATCTGGCCTTTTACTCCTGCTACTGCACTGCTAGTGTCATATCTGTCCTTCTACTCTTGTTACTGCACTGCTAGTGTCATATCTGGCGTTTTACTCTTGCTACGGCACTGCTAGTGTCATATCTGGCCTTTTACTCCTGCTACTGCACTGCTAGTGTCATATCTGGCCTTTTACTCTTGTTACTGCACTGCTAGTGTCATATCTGGCCTTTTACTCTTGTTACTGCACTGCTAGTGTCATATCTGGCGTTTTACTCTTGCTACGGCACTGCTAGTGTCATATCTAGCATTTTACTCTTGTTACTGCACTGCTAGTGTCATATCTGGCGTTTCACTCCTGCTACTGCACTGCTAGTGTCATATCTGGCGTGTTCACTCCTGCTACTGCACTGCTAGTGTCATATCTGGCGTGTTCATTCCTGCTACTGTACTGCTAGTGTTACTGCACTGCTAGTGTCATATCTCGCGTGTTCACTTGTGGAAACATAAAGCAACAGTGCGACAACAATTACAAAACGTCGTGGGACATTTTTTTGTGTGTACATTACACAGTTACAGATATACCATATAGTCTATTTATGCACTGTCATAATTTAAGGATGATTATTATTGCAGGATTATTATTTAGCGTTGGAGTTAATGTACGTACTTTCTGCCGAAACCCCGCCCCCCGCCCCCCCCCCCACCGCACGGGTATGACAAAGCGACAACCCCCACGCACAGTGCATACGCACTAAATGGATGGCCCCCTAGATTACACGATTGGATTTTTTTGTTGCAATATTCAGGCTTACAGTTTAAATTTATTTTGAAACGCGTTGACAGAATTTAGCATGCTGATTGATTACAGCTGGACGATGGGGCGCGGGAACAGGAAAAAAAAAAACACTGTGTGTGTGTGTGGGGGGGGGGGCTAAGAAAAGTTGGTGCACAATGAAAACATTGTACAAGTAAACGCGGGAAAACATCCTCCAAGAGAGTGTATCAAAAAGGAAAAAAAAAAAATAAAATTTACACTTATTCAAATCATCTGTTAAAATTTGGATTAATCTTACAGCCGATGGAATAAGATTTGAGCAGCAGGAAATTGGATGATTGGCGCCTTCTTGGACAGCGCTGCTGTATGGTATCCTTTATTCTGGTCATTCTGGATTGTCCGGTAACTGTTACCCCCGTCCCCTCGGATATCACTAAACTTACAAAATAAAACGTTTAAGACCAACATTTTATGGTACATGGGAATACAAATTATATTTTTACTTTGGTTAGGCTTCCCATCTTACGGTGAACCTGTCTATTATTATTATTACTACAGTGGTCTTATGTAGTGCGGTACTGGGCTCACCAAATTGGCAAAAATAAACATTACTTTAAAAAGTTACATACATTTACTTAAAAACAGCTTTATAAAATAATAACCCCCCCCCCTTTTTCAAACCCGCACACTTGACATGTCAAGCCACGGACGGCATCCAGCAGCATCGTTTCACGGTCAGAGAGAGAGGGGGGGGGTGGGAGTCAGTCGGGATTGGATATATCCACCTCATCACGGTGACTGTGGGGGCATTTGGTGCTACTCATTGCTCGTATCTTAACTTGTCATTTTCGGACAATTTGCTTGTAGGCCGATGTAGCAATTACATTTTTTGGTCAAGTACTTAGTTTATAGATTACTACGGAGTAAATTGCTTATATTGTATCTATGATGATTCGGAGGACCGATCCATATAGTACGTACGTACGCACTGAAGGGGAGGGCATTTCTCGATTTTGAAAATTTTGCGTACGCATTTGTGTGGGCATGGAGGGTGGGGTGTCACTGCAGAAAATAAGTACATTTTTTCCACACATTCTGCAAAAATTATTCTGAAATTCTGAGAGTGCACAAATAGCCTATTGAAATCTTCAATTCAATTAAAAATATTACGCAATAATTTAGTCATTATCATTATGCTGTTGCCTTTTGTTATCACACGTGACCTCAAAAGATATCACACGAATTTTTAGTCCAGAATTCGCCTTTGAGACCATAGTAAAGGGCGTCATGCGTTTGATGAAAGTGTAGCATCTAAACCATGAGTTTGATTAAAGTGTAGCATCTAAGTCATGAGTTTGATTCAAGTGTAGCATCTAAGTCACGAGTTTGATTAAAGTGTAGCATCTAAGTCATGAGTTTGATTAAAGTGTAGCATCTAAGTCATGAGTTTGATTCAAGTGTAGCATCTAAGTCATGAGTTTGATTCAAGTGTAGCATCTAAGTCATGAGTTTGATTCAAGTGTAGCATCTAAGTCATGAGTTTGATTCAAGTGTAGCATCTAAGTCATGAGTTTGATTCAAGTGTAGCATCTAAGTCATGAGTTTGATTCAAGTGTAGCATCTAAGTCATGAGTTTGATTCAAGTGTAGCATCTAAGTCATGAGTTTGATTCAAGTGTAGCATCTAAGTCATGAGTTTGATTCAAGTGTAGCATCTAAGT